AAGTTGCCTTGAGGGATCAAATCACTGCTTCTTCAAATTTTAGACCTTTCTCATCCCTTTTCCTTTTAATTTGTACATGTCTATAGGGATGCGAATGTATTGGTTGATTCCCTTGCTAAAGGGGTTTCCCTCGTTTCTGAGACTATTGTCTCTGCCTTTGTAATATTCTTTTAGTTGAATAAAATAGTAGAATTTCTATCAAAAAAAAAAAAAAGTTGTATTAATGTTGGAAAACCCTCTAATAAGAATAAGAATAAAAAAAAAAAAGATTTTGAGTTCTAGAAATAGTGCATTTTGCAATATGTTATCTAGACCGTCCATTTTCAAGATTTTCATATGCTTATAGGTCTACTTGATTTTAACTACTTTTGAAGTTTAAAATTTTATAATTAGATATGATAATAGATTTTCATATATTCTAATAATATTTTACACCAAAACTACATGTTATGATAAAATTTGGTGGTGCGCCTTACTTGGATTGTTTAATGTTGTAACTTTATAGAGAAACCACATGCTTAAACCAACTCCCACCTCACAACAGGTAATACTGAGTGTGTGTCGTACGTACCCAGTCGATCTAAATATATTTTCTCTCATCTTATCGCTTATTGAAACCACATCTAAATTCTCTCATAATTAAACAAATAATAAACCAAATTATTTGGAATTTAAATGGGTTTTAACTCATATAATTTATTTATTTTTACTCATGTTAGTATAGGAGTTGAAAAGATTAAATCCTAAAATTTGAAGTCTTCGAATTACTTTTTTTTTTATTTTGGAATTGCATGCAATGAGACTATTTATTTTTTATACATAGAGGTCATATTTAGTTAGAACCATCCGATCCGACGTAAAATTTGAAAGCCTAGATTTTAAGTGCGTCACAAAATTCAAAAAATAAAATTTTATATTTTAAAAATGATCGATAAAATAAATACAACCATCAATACATCCAATGGTAAATAGACATATTCTCCACGAAAGTATAAAACCCTTGGGGTGATGTCGGTGCTCAATAAATGCTCACCATTCCTCCATCCATGACAATTCCTTTTTTTAGTAAAAACGTGGGCAGTCACAACAATCCACGTTTGTACTCGTAACAATGTACTCTTGCCTAAAGAGGAAAGAGATGGAACGTCACCGACATTTTGGATCGGACGGTCCAAGTGAAGAACCTCAGCTTTCAACGGCGGGATGAACGCTGATTTTCTAGAAAGAGGAAAATACAAGGTGTTTGATTGCTCGGTCCGAGCCCTGAGTACTCGCCACCCAGGCAAACTGCTCGGTTACTTCCACTTGGGTATCCCACTACTAAGGATATGAAAAAATAAATAAACATTTTAGGAAGGTTTTTGGGGCATAAAATATTTTTTGATATTTTTTAATTATTTTAAAAATACCTCTGTCACAATTTTATTCTTTAAAATCTATTTTGCTACTTTTTTTTAACCTCATTTTGACGTTTTTTTGTAATCTTACTTTAAACATACATTTTCTGTTTTTTTTTATTTTTTTATTATTTTTTAACCTTTTTGTGCTAATACATCACTCGACCTAGGTAAGGCCGAGTTAAGCTAAGTACTCGGATCAGACATGGACTAAGTACTCGCGCCGAGTAGTGGTTTCGATCATTGGAATAAGCATGACGTTTGTTAGAAGATATTACAAATTTACAATCCTACATAGAGAACACAATCCAAATAGCCCCTTAATAGTGAATCATTTTTTTATCTTGATCGAGAGAAATTTTCATGACCAGACATATACGTGTAATGTATATGTCCTCGAGGTTTATAGCCTTCGATTGTCATTTGTTTTAGAGTGAACCAAGATCAATGCCGATAAACATAAAAATCTCATCAACTGGTATTAGCATTATTTATTAACCTTTACACTATTTGGTTGAAAGTAAGCTAAGAACAATTTCATAGGCTGGGAAGAGTAATATTTGTTAAGTTATAATTATTGTATTATCGTCGACTAACTCTTATCCATTCAATCAAGATCAAATAAATGTTGTATGTCTCTTAACACACTTAAACTGTCTTGGGAAACATAAAGAGTGATGGTACCAGCCCGTGACATTGTTCTCGACTTGTTCAAATTGTAAAACACCTCAAAGCCAAATGAAGCAGCCAAAAATGGCAAGATAGATCCTAATGAAGTCCGAAAGTGCTCTACTGTTGCCTAAGTTTAATTGGTTAGCGCTTGATGATTTGCAACGTTACATCCTAAGCTCAATTCCTATCAAAGGGTCATCTCCCCACTAACTCACCCAAAAAAAAAAAAAGCAAAAATCATATTAAAGAATGGGGTTGAAGTCAAAATGGTAAAACAATAGGTGACTCGGTTTTCCATTCCTACCAACATCGACCCTTTTGTAAAAAAAAATAATCCAGACAGCACCATAGACGCCCACCGACCAACCAGCAAGCGTTAAAAACGGATTCATGCAAAAACTAAACTCATTCAAGACTCATATATGCAGTTGAGATGATTTCAAGGGGAAATTGGTATGCAGCCTTTATGTCTAGCCTTTACAATTCCCATCTAGCCATCATTTTCACATAAAAACATGGGAATAGGAAGAACATTTCTACTTATTCATGGAATGGCGAACATTTGGCATTAATAGCTATTTTTTTCAAGAAGTTTCAATAATTTTAATTTTTTTTTTAATGAGCAAGTATTTTTATCATCATTGTGAAAGCCTTTTTTCAACTAAATGATGTCGGCTATACGAATTCAAGTCCGCCATTGAACTCTTAATGTCATACTCTCAATGAGTTCATAAGTGACCAAGTACTTCTATAGACAACCAAAATAATGCAAATGTTGTACCTATTTTAAAGCACATTGATCCATATTGGGAATTGCCAATTTAGATAGAAAATCAGTATTGACAAAACTAGTCTGGGAAGGCATCAGTGCCAACATCCCCCAAAGTTATATATATATATATATATTAAAGGGTGAGGTTTATATAAGATGCCCCGCCTCATACTATACAAGTAAAACGCACCTCTAAATTTTACCAGAAGATGTAGTTCTCGTATCAGAGACCTTAAGATGGATGACTTGAAAATCCATGTCCAAATCAAATGGTGAAATTTAAAATTCTAAAAATAGTGTTTAACGAGACAATTTGTAAATATTTGAAAATCTTGAAAATAAACTGTTCAGATAGCTTGTTACAAGATTCACTATTTTTATAATTTAAAAATTCATTTTTTTTTTTATATACACATATCTCGAAATCAAGATGATTAGTTGGAAAGTTTTCTATCTTCAAAACACTTACTAGATTTTTGAAGTGCACTTTAGTTCTATAATATAAGTTATTCTATAGTATAAACTCTTTTATTTTTTCAATCTTATCTAATATATTCTTAGGTATCCTAAACCTCCCTATGAACTCCTATTTTATTTTTTTTCTTTAAAAAGAAAAAAAAAAAACTCCTATTTTACCTTTTACTTTTTAATATTTTTCGGTACGAATCCGACTAGCCAAAATATATCCACCCCACCAATCTGAATTTTAAACGGCTACCCAACTTTTTGGGCAAGCATTTGGGTACACAATTTTCAAGTAAGTCAAGAAATATTTTCCATTCCACCACCCAAAATAAAGGTGGCGATAGTATTAAAACCCAAGCACATATACATGGGTGGATGACAAAAAGCATATACGTGGGTGGATGACAAAAAGGCGAGTGGCCGTTCCATTCCTTGGAATCAATAAGCCGCGAGGTTAATGACTTACAGCAAGATATGCTCCACCCACTCGACTCTCAAAAGCGAGACCCTACTTGCCTCCGCCGATGCCCCGCGGATCGGATCGGATAGGATCGGATCAGATTTTAGATGGAGAGAGAGGAGGGCCCCTAGATATCAGAGAGAGAGAGAGAAAGAGAGGCTCCCAATTTGAGATAGAGAGAGTGAGCCCCAATTTTAGAGTGAGAGGGCTCAAAGTTTAGTTTATTTGAGTAATTTATATATGGATATAAAAAAATATAAATGAATCAATTTTGGGTAAAAATTATACGGTCACTTGTATTTTTTATTTTTTTAAAATTACCTTTCGTTTTCAAGATACCATCCTCAAATCGCTTTTCAATTTTATTTTATTTTATATTTTATTAGTAGGACCCTAGTTTGAGGGAGGTGAAACCCAATCGAAAAAACGATCTGAAATCCTCATACCACCTTATTTCTTAACAAACAAATGAGCTAATATAGTATGAGAATGCCAATCTCGAACCGCACTATATAAGATAAGGCGGCTAATCTCAGACGGCCTTGAAGAGCACTAATAAGAGGCAGTTGATGAATAAGTAGCTCCTATACCCTCCGAATGCTCAACAAAGGCTGTCTCAGCAGTTAGAGGATGCAAACCTAAGACTAATTTGAAGAGTCGTAAAATAAACGGTCGGATGATCTACTATGGAACCGACTAAACTATACCCCAAACATTAGGGCACATCCGTTTGGTAGAAAAAAAACTCAAAAACAAACATTATTTTATATTTTGAATATTTTTTAACCCAAAATTAACTTATTTTATATTTTAAATATTGCCGGAACCTCCAGGTAATTTTAACCCAAAATGAACTTTTTTTAATTTTTTAATTTTTTAATTTTTGGTGTCCCTACGTAATTTACTCTTAGTTTTTAGAGAAAAAGAGACGAGAGAGAGTGGCTCCGTTTTTAGAGGGAGAAAGGCCCCAGGGTTTAGAGAGAGAAAGAGAGGCCCAACCCTTTTTTTCTCTCACATCCAGCCATTAAAAGCAAGCCTGAGCGCCTTCCCAACTTCCAAACCAAACAGAAACATCGCACATGGCCTCCTGTCAGGACCTGCCCCTCACGCCAAAGGCCAAAAGGCACACCTTACAGTTACAACAATTTAAACTAAGCTCTCGGTCCTCAGCTTAAGCCTAACCAAAATCACATAGAAACAAAACCCATGAACTAAAACACAAGAAATCGAATGCTAACAGTGTAAAAATGGTGATAATGTCTCTTCTTCCTCTGGTGAGACAAAACCAGAGCCACAACACTAAAACCCATGAACAAAAACTCAAGAATTCGAACGCTAACAATGTAAAAATGGTGATAATGTCTCTTCTTCCCCTGGTGAAGCAAACCAGAGCCACAACACTAAAAACCAGTGGCGGACATACATCCATGGAATACAAGTACATAAATAACCAAAATCAGCCATTACAGCCCCCACTCAAAAACCCCAACATGAAAATTACACACAGAGAACCAAAATGGAGAGTAACAAAAGGGACTCAAAAACATGAGAGAGAGGAGAGAGAATAAGTAATGAAACTCATGAACACAAATGAAACCACCCGAAGAGAGAAAACCAAGCTCGAAAAACCACCCAACTACAACAACAATAGTAAGAAGCAAGCAAAAGATCCGAAAACCAGAGCAGCAGCCGTACAGAGTGGCCTCGCTTTGTCCCCAGAAGAAGCCCCCTTCGAGTCTGCGGATTCGGCAGGCGCCTCCGAAGGTGAGGCTTCGGACCCGGCAGCCGTTGGAGCTGGAGGTGATGCTGCAGCCGGCGCAGGCACCTCTGCAACTGGGCTCGGTGCCTCAGCCACTGGGCTTGGGGCCGGCGCACTGACCGGGACGGGACTTGGGGCTGAAGCCGGCGCGTGTGGGAAAAGTTCTTCGGGCAATAGCACATTGTCTACCGTCAGGATGCAGAGCGGGGCGTCGTCCAGAACCGTGCTCGCTATTCTCGACTTGTCGACCCCAGTGTCGAGCGTCACCTCGTCGCCGGAAGTGGCAACTCGGAAGGCAAACTTCCGCACGCCGCTGGCAAGGGTCGAGACGGGGCCGGTAGCGGCCTTTAGGGCACCCGGGGGGCTGTAGCTGGGAAGCGCATGGTACTCAAGCAGAGACACGAGCTGCGCAACCCGCATGCCGGCGGTATCCGGCACTTCGGGCTTCTTGAAGGCCTCATCGTTGGGAGCTAAAATGGTTAGGCCCTTATCCATGGCGTCCTGATAATTCTTGAGAACCCCTGAGCTAGCGAGAAGAGAGGCGAAGATTTTACACCCCGCCTTTTCTAGGGTTGCAGTCAGATTAACCTGAGAGACCGAAGGTGCCGGAGCCGAGAGCAACCCAGGCGCAATAATGGGCGCACTGATCTCCATTACTGATATGTTGTACGGCACTTGCTTCACACTCTTTGTGTAAGTCGAATCCAGTGGCGAACCAGGGGCGGCAGAGCCGAACCCTACCTTGCCGCCCTTGAGATCGGTGATGTTGACGAAGCCGAAGTTCCCCTTGGCATCGCCGGTGGTCTGGTAGAGGGTGGTGGAGAGCATTGAGCCGTCGGTGATGGAGTGGAGCTTCTGGTTGTCGAAGTAGTCGAGGACGATCAGGAGAGAGAGAACGTTCTTGACGACAGAGAGCGGGTGCTTCGCGAGGGCCGACATGGCAGCATTGTTGAGGACGAAGACTGTTAGGGTTTGGCGAGTGTTGATCTCGTCGCAGAGCTTGGTCTGGGTGAGGTAGGAGTTGTAGAGAGAGTAATCAGGAAAGGCGGAGAGCATCTCTGTGATGTTGTGGGCGGAGGAGAGAGAGGCGGAGGTGGCGATGAGAGAGAGGAGGAGGAGGAGGAGAGGAGGTTTGATGGCCATTTTCTGGGTGTTTCTCGCTCTAGCTTTGGAAGTGGGGAGCTCAAGTGCCAGTGAGGGAGCACAAAATCTAGAGAGAGAGAGAGAAGGGAAAGCAAAACTTAGGGGGTGAGTTTATTATATGGGGAGTAGAGGTGTACCTGACCCGGGTTAGGGTTACTGCGTCGGAAAGGAAACCATGGTTAGTGCTAGAGAATTTGGAACTGAACCATTTTTAGAGAGAGAAAGTGTCTTTCGGGTCTTACTGTGTTCTTGCGAGAGAGAGTTTGAAGTTCAAGATGTTAAACCGATCATAGGATCCGGTTTCACAATAATCATTTTGGATTGACGGAGCACTTATCGTTGTTTTACCGTACCAAAAAAAATTGCAAACTGTTCAAAAAAATATATATAAAAATAATAAATTAGTCAAAAATAAAAAATCAATCCTAATCGATGAATTAATATTTTTGCTGTAACAAAGTTATACTATAACAAATCGTTGGTTCTTTTTTATACCGAGATGATTTTTTATATATTGACAAAATCCGTATGGGATGACTGGTTTTCGTTTCGGATGAGACAATTCCATATTTAATTATTTTGTGAAGTTACGAGGCAAGGAGAGAGAAAAAAACGGGGAGCAAGAGAGGCTGAGGTTGGGGAAGAGAGAGAAAGAATAACGGGAAGAAAGAGAAAATAAGGTTATATCATAAATGGGAGTAAGTAGCACTATCACTTCACCGGCCTTGAGCTTGATGAGTTTAGAGAGAGAAAGTAAAGTGATCTTAGAGAGAAAACTCAAGCTGGAAGCACATTTAATGTGAGTTGAGAAATAATTATAAGAAAAGAAACATGAAAACGAATGGGAAAAGGAAAAGCGTAAAAGAAGAGAAGGGGAAAAGCTAGGGGCTCAAATGGGCACTGGCTCGCTGGAATTGAAAAGGTCCAACTGCTTCTCGATCTTTCCAAGGTGAAAAGAGACCGAAGTGACGAAATTGCCCAAAAATATTATTTTAAAAAAAATACCATCATCATAGTGTTTTTATTATTTGGGATGGGTTTATCATTTTGTTTCATCAAAAGTCATACCCTCAATGACTTCATAGGTTGTTATATATGTGCTCGTTATTTTTAATTATATCATTTTGAGCTTATTTTATGGTTTTTTTTTTAGCTTTCTAATCGAATCAACACGTACCTTCTAAATTGGGTTTATGCAGTATATATCCAGTCTACTTAAATCTATTTTATCTCATCTTATCACCTATTGGAACCAAACGTAAGTTTTTTTAAATCTATTTATTTTGAAAAAATATGAAAAACATAAAAAAAAGTTTACAGATATTTTTTTGTACCTTGCTCTAAGTTATGTATCTGTCCATTATGAATTATTCAAATTGCAACCTTCCAACATAATAAGCTGCAGATAATTAGTAGCAACCAATCACCATGAGGATGACTGAGTTTGGATAACAATTCATATATTAATTCACATTTCAATAAAGTACGGACGCCGTTAGACAAGGTGTAAATTTAAACAATAAAAGTAAGGTTTATGGCCTCTAAAGATATAGTCTTCATAAATTCCAATTATGTTATCTTGAAATTTTAGTTTCACATCTAGTCATGAAATTTTAAATTTAGAGTTAACAAATTAGTATAGATCGAACAAATCTGTAAATACTTGAAGCTTTTGAAAATAGATAATCTAGATAGTGTACTACTTCCTTTGGGAGTATTGTTTATTTCTTTTCCCTCGGTAATTCTACTTGGGAGGATTTCTCCAACATGAAATTTTTGTAGCTACCTTAGGGTCACTCAATGATTATTCTCAAAACAAAAAAACAAAAAAATTGAAATTAGAGTTTTTTAACACTTAGATCTTACTTTTAAAAATTGAACGGTTTCCATTCAATCTTGAGACGTTATGTATTTTCAAGCGCTTGAAGTGTGCAATTAGGAAATTATTGTTATCAACGTTGAATGTATGTATTAAAGAGGTTACATCCCAAAACTTTGGGGTCCTAAAACTAATCCCGGGTGGGGTTTCATCCGAGGGATTAAATGAACAGTATACTCACCATGGAGTAGAAACATCGTTTGACCGTTCTAGATGAACATTTCAAAAGCGTGACTCGGAGAATAAGCAGGACCCATGGTCAAAGATTTGATTGGTCCCCTCGGTTCTCCCCATCTTTCTATCCCAATTTTGAAAAGGATAATCGTCTCATGCGGGCTGGACCGCATGACTATATATTTGGTCCGAAAAAAGTGTAAAGTATCCACCTTTTAAGGATGGATGCAAGTAGGTGTTCTATCTAAAAATAATGAAAAAAGTGTAAAGTATCCACCTTTAAGGATGGATGCAAGTAGGTGTTCTATCTAAAAATAATGAAAATTAATAGATCAAAATATTTTTTTACTATAATTATTAGAGTAATGATTCTATGAGACCTCTCACACCTATGCGTGTAGGATTCCAATTGATCAATTATTAAATTTGACACAGATCTCTAGAAAAACTATAATTAAATGTGGGTTTTGACTTTTTTAGAGATATGTGTCAAATTTAATAGTGATCTATTGAAATCTTACACACACATATGGCTGTGGGAGGGCATCACGAGGTTATTTCCCTAATTATTATTTATAGTTTTTAAAATTTAGTTATCTTTTATATTTATGATCCCCCATGTCCTTAAAAATTAAATCCAAAATTCATCTAAAAAATAGATTTATTACTAGGCCCGTACTTGTATATATGTGGGCTTGGCCGCATAGAAACCGGTCGGTTTGGGTTGACTCCAATCCAGACCCAGCACTAGTTCGAGTTAGGTTGGTTTTTACCATGTTTGACTTAAATTTATGTTGATAATAAGCATATAAACATAAATTTAACATATGTATATAATTTATGTTTATATGTTTAGTATTATTAATAAATATTTATACTAATGGGAAAGCTTTCTATGTTCCCCTATAACATAGAAGATCCTCCCCTTTATCCAACCATCCATTTCTTAATGAAGGGCTAAGATTGCCCCAATCACAATGTCACGTCTCTACTCTATTTTATTTTTAATTTTTTTCTATAGACTATTTTGACATCAAAATTTGGATATCCATTCCTCTATTAAACTCACACTAATGAAAAATATATATAAAAAAAATATTTTCAATAAAATAAAATGACCTTTGAAAGTTTTAAAGGGTATTTTGGTCATTATTTTTTATGAAAAGTTATTTTGATATTTTTTATGGGTGAGCCCTAATGAGAAGATGGCATGTACCAAATTTTATTTCAGAAAAAATTGTATTAAAAAATCTAAAAATAAAATACTTTGAGACGTCGGATCTAAGATCAAACAGTGAGTGGCTCTCTTGATAAAAAATGGACGGTAGGATGGTAGAGGGAGGATAGAACTTCTTTGTTGTAGGGAAAACATAGAAAGCTTTCTCTATACTAATATACATCGAGTTAAGTCGGTTTGGGTGACTCCAATCCAGATCAAATCTGACAAGATTTAAGTTTGATCCAAACCCAAACATGACCCAGGTCAATGAAAGTCAAATGAATCATACTGGACCCGTTTGGGTCAACCCGATCCAATTCCCACCCGATTAAAATGCAACAAATCCATGCGTTCCATGTGTCTATGACTATTCCACAAGTCACTGCTCCGCGTGTGGTTTGGTCATGACACACTGTCTATCTTGCTAGTGGGCTCTTAGTTATTATTTGAACTGGCTCTCATCTCATATAGTCATTATTGGGAATTCTCAATTTATTGCACATGAAATTATATTTTGGATCATTTCATATCATTTTTACTCTTTTCTTCTTCGTGAAAATATCAATAACTTTTTAAAATCACCTCAAAAAGTCGATGGGTGGTTTGCTCAAAGTGTTTGTGACTTTATTGTACAAAAAAATAAATGGTGTCTAAATATACAATCCTAAAGTAAAAACAAATTACCAGTGCTCCAATTCTGTAGCTCTCAATATATAAAGGTATTTTGATAATTTAAGTCACTTAAGCCAAATAATATGAACAACCCTACTTGTTCCCAGTTCCATACCCACACATGTTTTTCATTAAACAAGGAAATGTTTTAGATTTGGAACATAGAGCAAGTATATGCATTTTGGTAATCTAACCCCACTTATCTAAAAAGTATATTTGAATGAAAAAGGTTTAATATATTTGTAAATCATATGAGTATGGGTATTTAAGCCACTAGGCTCAAGTAACTTAAGTGACTATATTATCTACTGAGCTTCACTTGTTCAGGGTTCAATACCTCATAATAGAGTGGGTTTGGTTTTATAAAGTTGGTACTTAAATGAAGTAATCGTTAAAAAGTGACCACTTCATACATAAATGTATAGAAAATTGTTTCATGTGGGATGGACCGCATGACTACATACCCTTTCCAAAAAAGTGTAAAGCATCCATTTTAAAGATGGATCCAAGTAGGTGTTCTATCTAAAAACAATGTAAACTAACGGTCCAAATGTTTTTTTATTAGAACTATTATTTCTACTTTTAAAATTTTATTTATTTTTTCATATTTATGATCTCCATGTTAGAAATTACATATCAATTAAGTCCAAAAATCCATCCCAAAAATATATTTATTAATAGTCCCACATTTCTATATGTACGGGCTTGGCTGCATAGAAACCGGGTCTTAAATATATTAGTTTATTTAAACTCTCATTGATTTTTAAGATGGTTTGATGCATTTTTCATATTCTCTACAAAACCTCCCTCAAATCACTAAAATAAAAAAGAATACTTGGTAAAATACTTATAAATAAACCCAGGTCAGTAAAATGGTCAAATAAAAACCATATAATCAATAATTTTACCAATGAAGTTGTTGAAAATTATCTCGTTTATGTATTTCCTCAAGTTTGCTGTCTTAAAAAAAAAAATCACGTGATCTATTTTTGCGACCCTCAAGAAGTGTGGGTGTTTTGGTAACTCACTTATTACTTAGTCAAATAATGTAAATAAAGTAAGGGTGCGGTTTGTATAGAGCCTAAGGTCTAAACAATCAAATTAGAGCCTACCTTCAAATAGTATCGAGAAATGTGGCTTCATTATTGAAAATCTCTGTGATAGCTTTAAAATATATTTTTATATTTATTTATAAAATTTAAAGCTTCAAAAATAGTGTAGATTGATAGATTTATGAAATCTTGAAAATATTGAAAATTGAAGGTCCAAAATTGCGTTACAACATAGATTTTGTTTTTTTTTCATGTCCATGCATCTTGATGTCGAGATGATCAATTTGACGATATTTGAGCATCAAAACAACATTTTCTAATGAAATTTTTGAGGTAGGCTCAATTTTGATTCTTTAGAGCCTCGGCTCTATATAAACTTTTCCCCATAAAGTAATAAACTATATTTGTTTGGAGTTACATACCCAAAAACATGTTTTTCATTAAAGATTATTATGGATTTGGACCTCAGAACAAGTGTATGCATTTTGGTAATTTAACCCACACTTGGGTCACCTGGATCTAAAAATGTGCCTACTTTTGTCAATTCCACATTCCAAGCTAGAAGAGATTTTTGAATAAAATATATTTACTGTGTTTAAAACCTAAATAAGCCAATCCTCCGAACTTTATCCGCACTTACACTTTTGGCATGGAAAATTTTTAAGATGGCTCCAAAGTCTATTTTATCGTTAATTATATAATTTTAGACTACAACAACAGCTAAAATCAAGTGTATCTATAATTTTCAAAAAAATTTAAAATAAATGGTCATATTCTCTCTTCTCTAATTTTAAAGAATCTAAAAAATAGACAATCCAGATACTCTCTCTCTCTCCACAAATCCATACATCCTAACAATGCAATAGGTAATTAGATGGTTTTCCAATGTCAAATAGCCATTTCCAATTGATTTATGAGATGCACTTTAATTTTACAATAAAAGATATCAGTCTTATATAATTGTTTGCTAAAATAATTGTTAAAAAGTGACTACTCTATAGATACATTAGTTTATGAAAAATTGTTTCAAGCGGGCTAGACCGCATTTCTACATATGCGGTCCTGAAAGTGTAAAGCATCCACCTTAAAGACGGATGCAATTAGATGTTCCATCTAAAAACAATGGAAACTAAGGTAACATTGGTACGTGCGTAATATTTTCGTAAAATATTACTATATGTAAAATTGTTAGTTCTACACGTTACGGTTTTCGACTTTTCCA